AACTTTTTACAGTAAGGTGATGGGCAGAGTGGCATTAATAAAATTGCTGAAGTTCTCAAAAGTTTTGCAAAAGTTTGTTATTCTGCAAAAGTCAAAAGTTAAAATGTTAGCAAATTACCATTGGAGAATTTTATCAGAAAAATTACACTCCAAAAATCAATTTTTTCTAGAAATTATAGCATAGTTGCAATTGTAACTTAAAATTTGCTAAAGTGAAATAAACTTATTTGCATAATTTTGTTTTATCTTTTAATACAAAATTTCAATTATTGTTTTTCCTCTTCACTGCCAAATGTTGGTCCATTTGTTAAGTACATTCACTCCAAGTAGCCTTTTATGACAAAATTATCCCCAGATAGAAAGGCTCTACTATACTGTGTTGCCAAGTTAATACTGTAAAGTGGGCTTGCAATATACAGATAGGTGGCAGCAACGTTCACAAAAAGACAATTTTACCATGCAATGGGACTTAAAGGTCTGCACTGAGTCCTTAATTTTAAAGTGTTATGTAAATTGACTGACCTTCACATTTCTTAAGTTACCTCTGCCAACCATTTAATTCTTAGTTGCAATTATATTCTATTATGTACACATTGTTTCTCTTAACAAGAACACCACAATTACACTGTTCTCTGAGTCTCCATTCTTTATCCTATAGTTTACTTCTAGTCAACATAATTCTTACCTTATAAAGAGGAGTTTTTGTCATTTAAAACACATTTAGATTTTCAAAAGCTTACTACTATAGTTCTGCATTATAGTTTTAACCTTGCAAAGACTTTAATTACTTTGATGGTACTAGGCAAAAATTTAAATAATGTACATTTGTATTTATTGATGTGGAAATGTGCTCTAGATACATTATATGAAAAAATGAAGTTTATGAAACAGCTTGTACAGTATTAACCCAATTACATAAATATATACAAATAGAGAAAAAGTTCCAAAAAATGATGGTACCCATTCAAACAGTGCTAATGGTGGATGGTGGAATAGCATGTGCTTTTCATTTTCTTCTTTATCCCTTTCTGTTTTCTCTTAAATTTATATAAGTAAGTTTTCCATTTATAATAAGAAAAAATATGAAATTATTTAAATTTATGTATAGGATATGATATATAACATGTTTGTAAATTCAAGTGCCTATAGAAATTCATAAAAAATAAAATGCCAAAACTGTAGCTTGCAGACAATACCTAATAGTAAGTGATTTATGAGGTGAAGGAAATAGGAAGATAAGCTGCGAGCAAAGACATGAGGCAGAAATGACGTGCTGTTGACACAGAGGAAATTTGTCAGATATTGTAAAGTGTTCATGTTTGCAAACAGGAACTAGATTATGCAGCACTTTCAATGTTAGAATAACTTTTCGCTTATTCCAATGGACAGTGGAAAACTGTATCAATCAGGGGTTAGTTACAGAATTCATGATGGCTAATTTAGGTTAAAAGGGATCTACTAAGAGGCATTTATCACACTGCAGAACTGAGCCACCAAGAGCCAGCTGCAGCATGCACAGTCAGGAAGCAAAATTGAAAAACTGGGAAGCTGATGCTGATGCTGGAGTCTCCAGAACCATATTGACATTGCCCAATCAGGAAGTCACCACAGTTACAAAACTGCCATGTCAAAGAAGTCACCGCAAATAAGAAGCCTCCATGAGCAGGGAGCTTCCTTATTGCTTCTGGCTCCAGAAGTGCACCATACCTGCCGTGATAGGCATCAGAAAACTCATGTTCCATGCCTTGACTATCCAGGAAACTAGTGATCGATCGAACACTGGGACTTCTGATAACACTGCCACAGAAAAGTCAGATGCCTACAGACCACGAAAAACCAAAGGCAGCATAGGAGTGAATTCTGTCTCCTTTCTGCCTTGCTAATGTTGAATGCATCCCAACTCCAGCTGCAAAGAAGTCTGGGAAATGTTGTTTTTAGCTTTTCAGCCTCTGCAGTATACAATGGCACACCAGAAGAGATTGGACTGAAGGTTCCACCAATCTACCTTATCCCCTAAACAAACACTAACGGACCTTAAATGAAGGGAAGGGGAAGAAAAATGTAGACCTAACTCTTGTATATATTGAATTTGAAATGGTTAAAACTGAATTTATCATTGCTGTATTACTCCCCAAGCTATTTCCCTATCTGAAATTTCCAGTTTCTGTTAAAGCTACTATTATTCTATGATTTACCTCATTTAGACACCTGTAGATGTCCTGTATCTTGGATGTGGCATCCAAGAAATAGTTCTCAGTAGTATAAATGTTTACTACACTACAAAAATAGTGTGGACATATAACTAGAAAAATTCTTTATCATCCTAGAAGGAACTCTTTGTACGCTGTAAACTCTAAGGCTGGCAAATCAAACCACTCGGACAGAGTGACTAACATCACTTCTATAGCAGTCATTCCTCACCACTTTTTTCTGTCCCAAAAGACCTAGTGGGAGTAACCAAAGTTACTAGAGGAGAGAGTATTTTTTAAGAAGTTTAAATTTAAAAGAGCTCTGTTTTGAAGGAACTTTTGTGCTGTGCTGGAGCACATTGATGGTGCTCAATAAATACTTAGCGTTGAATGAACAAATGAAGGAATGAATCTCAAAAGCAATGAAAATCCATTAAAGTGTTTTAAGTGAGGAGCGACTTGATTAGATTGATTTTACATGAATCAGAGCAGGAAGAGTGGAAAGTAGACAACTGCTTAGAAGCCTGTTGTAACTCTTCAGACAAGAAGTCATTTAGTCCATGCCCTCATTTCATAGGTGAGGAAGCTGTGATCTCAGAGAACTTAAGGGGTTTGTTCAGGGTCTCAGAGTTGGTTAGTGGCAAAATTGGCTTCTTTGCCAATGCCCAAACACTTTTCCTACTATATTTCCTTACCTACAAATTCATTATTTAACACCTGAAGCTTGAGATAGCTGTAAGAGGATTTCCGTTGTAATGGTGTAGTGATACAATGATGTTGGAAATTACAGACAGGTCTAACTGGCCAATAATATTTCAGCAGGATTTTTGCATTTTGTACTTTTTTTTAGGGAGACATAATTTGAACATTGGTATAGTAAGGATTAATTTGACTTGCAAATCAGCAAACCAAAGCAACTTACAGAGGTTGATAAACTAGATTTTTCTTTAATTTGGTTATTTTTTTCAAAAGTTAAGAAAGAAATAATTACCAAGATGATTATTTCTCAAAAATATTCCTATCTATACATTTTTCTAGGGGCAGTCTTTTCTCCCATGAAACTCTCTGGCCATAATGCCAGTGCCTACTTTTCTCATATTCCAATCACTGATCATTCCCAGCATCCTGTCTCCCTCCCTGCTGCTGCTTTTCATTTCTCAGTTCTCATCCCTCCTCACTTCCTCGCTGTGTTACGCCAGCTATCAGCTGCCAAGAAGGTCGTTTAGGTCATTCATCAAATCAGGAGGTTTTCCCTTGTCATTCAACTTACTTTCTTAGAACACTGAAACTGAAAAATAGATATGACTTTGTCTCAAAAAAATTAAGTGGGATTTATATTTTATCATTTGAAATTTGGGGTAGCAGGAAGCAGGTCTCAACTTAATATAAAGGCAAGGCAGTAATTCTGAATCTTCAACTCCCAAAATCTGTTTCAAACTGTCTTTATTTTTTTTATTTTTTGAGGAAGATTAGCCCTGAGCTAACTGCTGCCAATCCTCCTCTTTTTGCTGAGGAAGACTGGCTGTGAGCTAACATCCATGCCCATCTTCCTCTCCTTTATACATGGGATGCCTACCACAGCAAAGCTTGCCAAGCAGTGCCATGTCAGCACCCAGGATCTGAACCGGTGAAGCCCGGGTGAAGCCTGGGCCGCCGAGAAGCCGAACATGCGAACTTAACCGCTGCACCACCAGGCCGGCCCCTCAAACTGTCTTTATTTTGATAATGCACCTGAACACTCTCCTCTAGTTCACTGATAATCAGTCTGTATTGTGCCTCACTTTGTTGACAATTTAGCTCCCATAGCTACAGCTGCAGATCCAGTGGAACCCATACCAATGGCGAAAACCACATGGTCTCTCCATTAGGAAAGGAAGATCAGACTGGAGATTCCTGGCCTGCTTTGATGTCCGAAAATAGGCTGCTCTAACTGGGAAGAATGCCCAGGCCCAGGCTATACTAAATCTAGAGTAATTCTGAAATATTGAGGGTGAAATAAGAAGTGGTGGAACTTCTCAGGACTCCTGCAAAACAACCCAAAATTCCTTCCAGTGTTTCCTTCCCCCAGCATTCCTTGCACAGTGTTGGGCCAAATCCAGTCTGTCAAGGACCATTTCCCACATGCAACTATTAAATGCATTTTGGCCCCAGTGTAGCTTTATAAAGCTAGACAACTGTAGGGCCCCTGTCTGTGGATCATAGCATCAGTAATCCACAGATCAGAAAGCATAAAAGAACAAAATAAAAGTTTGAAAATTTACAGCTTTATCTGTCAGACATATTTTGCCAAGCATCCACCAGTAACTCACCAGTAACTCAAAATAGTGACAAAAAAGGGAAAAATGTCATGTTCCCATAACTGGTTTATATTTAGTGGACCATCAAAATGGGCATGGGATAAAGAGCTCCATTTTTCTAAAAATTTAAACAAAGCTCCATCCTGAAATACTTACAACAGAAATAGTACCAATAAAATTATCCTATGAAGTAATTTTTAATGGCGTTCATTCAAATCATGCCTTCTGGGGATAAAAATGGACAGCAATAAACAAGAAAAGTGGAAGAAAACAAATGCGACTTTGATGTCCCCTCTAAAGTCCATAATCTCCACATCGGTTCCTTTCATGCTCTGGTGATGTTAATCTTCTGTTTATTTTGCTGCTATAATTTGAAGTACATGTAGTTTACTCAGAGATTGCCCTCTTAAAGTTGGTCTATGCCTGTTCTTTCTTACCTCACAAAAAGTAAAGGAAAAAAATGTGTGTGTGTGTGTGTTCTGTTGGTGGTTAAAAATCAAGTTGGGACTTCCTCTTTGAACAGTTGCCTTTTCCTCTCACGTAAGGGAGATCTCATTTTCTTTGAGACTGGATACAGTTGAAAGTAAACCAGACACCAACGAGAGGGTATGATGGCTAAGAAGCCCCCGAAACCAGCCCCTCGAAAGATCTTCCAAGAAAGATTAAAGATTACTGCTCTACCATTGTACTTTGAAGGTTTTTTACTAGTCAAGCGGTCAGAATACCAGGTAAGTCTATGGATGATAATGTTAAGCTAGAAGCTTCTGTCTTAATATAAAATTTATTTCTTGATGATGTGAGGTGACAAGGGCCTCCTTGTTTCTGTTGGAATTAAGTGCTCTTACTTGAGCTCAGAAATATGATTCCAATTTTTCATACTTTAAATACAATGTGTGGCTTAAACACATACGTGCATGTATGTATGTATTATATATAATAACGTAAGGTCCTAATGTTGTGACTAATGCAAAAAATCAATAAGCTAAATTCCCAAAGAATTAATTTAAACATCACAGAAGATTTTAGCTTAGAAGATAAAATGTTTCCCATATTTTCTCTGCAATTTACTAGTGTGCTTCCACGATGACGTCTACCATTAAGATAAAATGATACTCTGATTGAAATGAAACTTTCTGTTCTTATTCTCAGTTGTTTCAAGTTTACAAATAATGATCAAATTATTTTTTTAATGGTAAACTTTTGTAAAATGTTGAAAATGAGAAAATTGATACTGTTTCAGATCAGGCATAGTTATGTCTTCTAAAAACACTGTTCAGGATAGTGACTTTAAAAGATAAAACTTAGGGTGTGTTGTGGGTAGTATGTACACTAAGCTTCATAAATACATTCACTCTAAGAAAATTAAAAAAGCACTCCATGTTTTTATTTATTTATTTATTTATTTATTGGTGAGGAAGATTGGCACTGAGCTAACATCTGCTGCCAATCTTCCTCTTTTTGCCTGAGGAAGATTGTCCCTGAGCTAACCTCTGTGCCAGTCCTCCTCTATTTTGTATGTGGGACTCAGCCACAGTAAGGCATGATGAGCTGTATGTAGGTCCACAACTGGGATCTGAACCCAAGAACCCCAGGCCACCAAAGCAGAGTGCGTGAACTAAACCACTGTGCCAGCGGGCTGGCCCCCTACACTCCATATTTTTAAAACGCAAAAATGAAAACTTATAATTCATTAAAATCAGTGCTTTTAAAATATTAATTGTGGATAATTTGAAATTAATGAAAGAAATATGAAAGTGCCTGTTACCAAAGAAATCATTGACTTTGTCAAATTTTATGAAATTTTAATATTAACTGAAACTAGGAAAAATTTGTGTTTTGAGAAATGCCATAAGAAATGTTAAATAATGATAAAAATATATTTCCTGAGGATTTATTAATACTTATGGAAAAATTGTGTATGTGAAAATATTTGTAATAGCACATTCATATTTCTTGCATATACGCTCAGATCATTTACTATTAGAGAGTAAAGACATGGTAATTTGCATTCTTTTATGGGTGTTACACATATACTAGTAATATCTGTCAGTTACATTGGAATATATTTTGGCTGATCCTATATGCTTTTAAAGTGAATTCAATCTTGTCACCACAAGTTAACCACATTGTTATGCTTTGCCAAGAAAGAGGAGTTGGGAAAAATAAATTTCTAATTTGTAATTTAAATTTGGTTATTCACTGAATGTTTTCCAAAGTATATTTATAATAACTGTTTTTTTATGGAATTTTTTTCTTCTAAGATCGCCCGTGATCTAACTTGTGTTGCCAATCTTTTTTTCTTTTTTTTCTCCCCAAAGTCCCCCAGTACATAGTTGTATATTCTAGTTGTAGGTTCCTCTAATTCTGCTATGTGGGATGCTGCTTCAGCATGGCTTGATGATGATGCTACGTCAGTGCCCAAAATCCAAACTGGTGAAACCCCGGGCTGCCAAGGCAGAGTGCACAAACTTAACCACTCAGCCACAGGGCCACCTCTATCATAACTGTTTTTTATATCTGGTTCCTTTTAATGTTTAAAGAAGGTGTTCCATTGCTATGGTTAGCAGAAAGAACAAGGATTTTAGAGTGTCAGGAAAACATGTCTTTACCTGATAGTTTTGCCACTTTTAGCTTGTGACCTTATGCAAATTACTCAGTCTCCTTGAGACTCAATTTCCTCAACTATAAAACGGAGAGAATACGACTTGCCTCCCAGTGTACAATGCCTGGGATATAGCCAGCGTTCAATCAATTTATCCATTCAACCAACGTTTATTGTGTGCCTCCTATGCACCAAGCAGCACACTCAGTTCTGGAGAATGTGAATAAAACACAAAGACCCTACCTCCAGGAGGCTTAGTTTAGTAAGGAGTGATGACTCCCTTACTTGATTGCTCTATCTTTTCTTAGAAAGCATGTTTTGAAATGGAAAGAATAAATTATAGGTATAAATATTTCTGATGAAATTAACTTGTCTTCCACTTGAATTCATAGCAAAGTATCTTTTACTTGTATGTCAGGGAGAAGAGAGCAAGAGGACATCAATAATATCGACTTATAGGGTGCTTTCAGTTATCAAAGGGATAACGTATAAAAAAAAACCTGGCTCACATTGAAAGCTAGATTCATTCTCCTTCCATTTTGTTATTTATTGTATTCTTGTAATAAAACTGATAAAATCAGTTTTGAGTCCACAAGTAATATGGCTCAAAGGAGAGCCACAGTGACAAAGTGCTCGAAAATAGGAGGTATGAGAAAAAACTGAAGAAAATAGTGGGATTTCTAGGCAAGAAGCGGCAAAGTGCCAGGAAACCTTTAAAAGGAAGGTGATCCAAGGGTATACCAAAGGTCATCTTTGGGGCAAATGGGCGAGAGGAAGTCGGGAAGCAGAATGTTAAATGGGGTCTTTGCTGAAGGAATTCAGAACACTTAAGTTAGAGAAAATGTAACTAAGGAGTATTTTGGTCTGTAATGAGATTACACTTTGAGAAGTGTTTCTTAGCTGTTTTTGTGACAGGGGCACTTAAGAATTTAAGGAGGAGCATTGCCCCAGGAAAAGATGCCAACATACATCATTTTAAATGCAATTCCAGAAGGTTCGTGGATCCCAGGTCAAGAACCCTTAGAAGTATATCATATTCATGGGGCTGGCCCAGTGGCCGAGTGGATAAGATCGTGGGCTCTGCTTTGGCAGCCCAGGGTTTTGCCAGTTCGAATCCTGGGCAGGGACATGGCATTGCTCATCAAGCCATGCTGGGGCAGCATCCCGAATGCCACAACTGGAAGGACCCACAATTAAAAATACACAACAATGTACCAGGGGGCTTTGGGAGAAAAAGGAAAAATAAAATCTTAAAAAAAAAAAAGTATATCATATTCATGGAAAAGACAATGTGAGAAGATTTACTTAAACCACAGTGCTAGAATTTTGGATTGATCAGGAATATTTAGTTGACAGTAAGAGCTATTAAATGCCACAACAGGATACCAGTGGCAACACAGTGCTTAGAAATGTGGAAAATTCTCATTTTTCTGGAGCGGTTAGAAAATAAGAGTGAGTTTCGGCAACATCTAATAGTTTCTTCAATCTGTAACCTGCTAAAATTAGAAACGATGTGTACAATATGTCTTCTTATTAGCCTGGACATAAGAATGTGATCATCATAATAGTATCAAAATAACATTTCTCTAAGTAGTCTTCTAATTGCCACTAATTCATTTAGAAAAATCTTAGGGCTATCTCACTTGCGCTCTCAAACATTCTCTATGCCAGTAATTTCCAAATTTTTTAAATAACATACTCCTTTCAAGAAAACATTTTTGAGCACAGATCTCAAATAAGAATATTAATTTATTTAGAAATTATACGTGTGTACTCCTATACTAATACTCCCAGCAAATTATTAAATATATGCAAAAATGGAATTAAGAAAAATGAAATATAATTAGATATTCTAAAAGTTTCTTCCCCAATGGGAGTATCTTGCACACCTCTGGGGTTTATGTGCCCTACTTTAAAGAACACTACACAATATCCTTCCTTAAACAAAGGTACAGTACTCGCTCACAAGAAAAAGAGTGGAAGCTCTTTACTGGGGACACGGGTTAGAGAGGAACTTAACTGAATTTTGCCTTGTAAGCCGTTTTTACTAGTTACTTCAATGAGAAAAAAGCCCTGGGGAGCCAGGGGATACAAATAGCAGTCCAGCTATGGAACTTGGGCAATTTCTTTAAATCTTTTCATCTGTTTCCTCTTTTGTAAAATGGATAATTACTCTCTTGCGTAACTGAATGAGTTGCTGTGATGATCAAATGAACAATATAATAATGGGTATATTTTCTTGAGGTGTTGACATATGGCAGGTATCATGCTAGGCTCTTAATGTCTTGTCACTCTGATCCTTACAATAACTATTCTGGGTAGAGATTATTTTATCCGCTTCACAGGTGAGTGAATTGTGGTCACAGAGGTAAAGTTCAATGTTCTTTGCCTATTAAGGAGTCTGGGCTTTTATTGCAAAGCACTTGACATCACGCTGCCTCTCAAACTTAAGTTCTAGTTCCATTTGATTGCGGGCTTCCAAAGGTTGGGGATGTCTAATCACAAGGTTCTTTATCACACTGAGCTCAACAGTAAGTTCAGTAGACTTTCAAAATTTGTTTGATTGAATAAAAATGAGATAGTGACCTTAAACTCTAAATATAAGGTCACCTAATGATTATGAAGCTAGCAATAAATTTAAAAATTCCATTATAGTCCTTTTATCTATTTCAGTGATTCAACACAATAAATTGCTAAAAAATAAGAAACTTTGTACTAAATGTATTTCATTCAACAATGTCTACTTCAAAATTAATTTTTAAAATATTTACATATCTCTATAGATTTAAATACATACCTAGATGTTTGATATTGATATTGATAGATGCCTCAAATTATACTGGTATTCATGAGAGCTTATCAGAAACTAAATCAAGCCTGTGATCTGCAGATCTCTGCATACTGAATATAAGTTTGATCTATTCTTAGGTTTGTGGCTGTGGTTGGAGTTCACAGGGCCTATTGCTATTTGTAATCTTCCTTTTCTTCTGGTCTGTCTTTACTCTCAACTCAGTGCCTTTGTTCTTGCTTCTTCCCCCATTTAATAAACCCTCCTTAATCCTTTCCCTGAATCTGTTTGTTTGTTTACCAGTAAAACTTCCATTTTTCCCTGATTAACTCTACCCA